CTACCCTACAAGTCATTCTTTACACAGAAGCCAGAAACACAAATAAGACTGTGTCATTTACCTGCCTGAAGCCCTTTGAAGAGTTCCCACTGCTCTTTGAATGAAATCGAAAGCCCTTACTCTGCTGTGCAGGGCACTAAGAGCTTTTGTACCCCTCTGCTCTCATCTCACATTCCTTCATCTGCAATCACTACTCTCCAGTCACCTTAACCTTTGAAAGTAAATTTTACCTCCACCCTTCTAGGTTCTTGGTTGTGACCCCTCTGTAATAAAAGACACATTAACCATAGAAAAAAATAAATGGAACTGTAATAACATTTATACCTCAAGTATACGTGGGAAATACCCAAGAAAACTGAATAAGTCCCTGAAATGGCCCAAGCCACCACCTTAAATACCATCTTCAGCTTAAGAAAAAAGAACATATCGGGGGGCAGTGGGAGGAGCCAGTTATGGGAGGTTATTGGTCAAAGCACAGGCATGGTTTTTATGCGGATTTAAGTCACTGCTCTCTTCATTGATCAGAGTTTCTAGAGATTCAGTCATCCTCCTCTTTCTGGTACAGAGAGAGAGAGATACCCTTACAAATGGAGATTTCCCGTATAAATGTAAAAGTCTCTCACAAAAGGGTAACTTCTAGTGGGTTTTCAGGGTTTCTTCAATATCTTCTACTTCTTAAAAATAATCAGCTCAAGATAATCCTTATGTCAAATAGGCATATTTGGAGGTGGCAAATTCTGCTCCCTCTCACCTTCCAACAATTAAAACACAGCAAGCTCTTCCCTGCCTCAGGTCCTTTGCACTTACTGTTTTCCAAGAACTAAGTCAAGTTCTTCCCCCATTTTCATACATGGCTGCCTCCCTTATATCTCAGCTTAACTGTCACCTTTTCCCTATCCACCACAGACAAAGTTCCCTCCACTCCCCTTCCACCACATACCCTGATTCTCCATCACAGTGTTCTATTTCTTTTCTTCACAACACTTACCACAGCTAGAATTATTTTTATGGATTCACTTGATCATTAGTCATCTCCCAAGTAGGATATTATCTCAGAACAGCAAGCCCCTGATTTCTTAACCCTCAGAACATACTGCACCCACAGCAGTGCCTGCCATAGAGTGAGCACTCAATAACTATTTGTGCTTATTGTTAAACTTGCTTTCTATCAAGATTAGTCCTGATAAGAACCTTAAGTCTGATTTCCTGGATAAAAGAAAATGGTGAAGCACCTGAAGATATAGGAGAAGCAAAGGTAGTTGTGTTACTCAACTTGGGCTCCCAAAACAAAATACCATAGACTGAGTACCTTACACAACAGAAAAATATTTTCTCATAGTTCTGGGAGTTGGAAGTCTGAGATCATGGTACCAGCATGGTCAGGTTCTGGCGAGGATTCTTAAAGATGACTACTTTAACTCTGTGCCCTCACGTGGCAAAGAGGGTAGGGAAGGCGGGGGCACTTCCTCTCTGGTGTCTCCTCTTATAAGTACACCAATTCCATCATAAGGGCCCCACCCTCATGACCCTTAATTACCTCCCAAAGACTCCATCTCCAAATACCATCACATTTAGGGGTTAGAGCTTCAACATATAAATTTAGACAGAGGAGACACAACTTACTCCATAACAGTAGTGGAATTCATTAGAAAAGGAATGAAGAGTAGATTCATGGACTTTGAGCATGGACCCAACCACCGTCCCATTCATTCATTTAATAAACATTTGTTGAGTACCTACTGTGAACCAAAAGTATGGTGTTGAGCCTTGGGAAATATGTAAACATAGAGAAGATGGTGCTAGCACTCAAGCAGAGAATAAACATGTAGGCAGATACTTAATAAAGTATGGCGAGCACTAAACTAGAGATTTGTACAAAATGCCATTGAAGTAGAAAGAGAGAGTAATGGGTTCTACCCAGGGAAGGCAGGAAGGTCTTCACTGAGGAAGTAACTTTTGAATTTTGACTTGAAAAATGAGTAAGAGTTTACCAAATAGAAAAACAGGGTAAAGCAATCCAAATAATGGGAATAGAAGTCCATGGGTTGCGCGCTCTCTTTTTTTTCCTTGCAATTTATTCATTGAAGAAATGAACTCATTTCTCCTAAAGAATGACCTGCTACGCTGGGTTTTGCCTACTGCATCCGGGAGATATGTACCATGGCTTCTTTAGCCAGTCATCTATCATAGGACACTTCGGTTGCTTCCATGTCCTGGCCACTGTGAATAGTGCTGCTATGAACATTGATGTGTAAATATCTTTATAGATATGAGTTTTCAAGTCTTTGGGGTAAATGCCCAGTAGAGGGATTGCTGGATCATATGGTAGATCAATTCTTAGTTTTTTGAGGAACCTCCATACTGAGAAATTTTAGAATGCATGTATTAGTTCATTTTAAAGTAAGTGTAGCATAAATAACATATTTTATGAAAAATGCCATATTTTCCAAAACAAAAACAGTTAGTGAGAAAAGTGGCACTGTACATTTGTGTAAATCTCTTTAATGTCTGACTTAATAGAAGACAACTGGATTCTCGTGTCTTCAATATTCAATCTCTTGTAATATGGTGACTTGGTTGAAGTATCTGAAGAATATCCAGCCTCACACAGATATGCAGTTAGAAAAAGGAGGAGCATTTTAATAGCCTCTATAGATAATTGTGGATTCTTTTTAGAAAGAAGTGGTAGTTTCTTAAAGGTTAATTGTGATATGGAATCTGAAACATCGATGTACTCTTTATACTCTGTTTCATTAAAATCTATCTTGTACTTTGAATGGATCTTTTACCCATCCATGATATTGTAACATCACATGTTAGTCATCTCAAAAACATTGGTTTATTGAGTTATACAAATACTGCAAATGTTGAACAGTATCCAAAAAAAATCACATTTGTTAATATCACCACCAATCCCATCAGAAAAATCTTTAAATATTGAGAAGATATTAAACTCACAGTGGTGGATACAAAAATTCCAATTTTCACTTGAAAGCTTGAATTTATCATTGGCAATAAATACTGTCAAATTGTTTTCCTTGAAGTAACAAGGCTCATGTCTTAATTCTCAAGAAAATGTATGCCAAATACTGTTTTCTGAATAACCATAGTTTGCCTGTCAGTGGTTCTTTTAAGTAAAAATACTGTTCCATGAGAAAAGTAGCTAGTTCAGCTCTCCACTCAATAATTGTACATTTGCTTTTCCTCGAGATGGCCGTGGTACAATAGTCCCTCTTTATCCACAGATTTGCTTCCCACAGTTTCAGTTACCTATAGTCCTAAAATATTTAATGGAAAATTCCATAAATAAATAATTCAATAAACAATTCATAAGTTTCAAATTGTGCACTGTTCTAAGTAGAGGTATTGCAGTGCTTGTGTTCAAGTAACCCTTATTTTACTTAAGAATGGCCCCAAAGTGCAAGAGTAGTGATGCTGGCAATTCTGATATGCCAAAGAGAAGCCATAAAGTTCTTCTTTTAATTGAAAAGGTGAAGGTTCTCGATTTAATAAGTAAAGAAAATTTTCATATGCTGAGGTTGCTAAGATCTATGGTAGAACAAATCTTTTATCCATGAAATTGTGAAGAAGGAAGGAAATAAATCTATACTAGTTTTGCTGTCGCACCTCAAACTACAAAAGTTACAACCACAGTGCGTGATAAGTGCTTAGTTAAGATGGAAAAAGCATCAAATGTGTGTGTGGAAGACATGAACAGAAAACATGTTGCACCAGAAAACGTTGAGCCTACATGAAAACTTCAGCAAGGAATCCCCTGAAATGAGTGACCACATTTACCTAACTTTTATTATAGTATGTAGTTATAATTGTTCTGTTTTATTATTAGTTACTGTTAATCTCTTACTGTGCTTAATTTATAAATTAAACATTCTCATAGGTATGTGTGTATGGGAAAAAAACATAGTATATAAAGAGTTCAGTACTACCCGCAGTTTCAGGTATCCATTGGGGATCTTGGAACAGAGTCCCCCAGAATAAGAGGAGACTACTGTACTTCAATATGCAGCAGAAGTGCTTTATGCGTATTTCCCATTTCATCATATAGAATATTGTAAAGACATGTACACAAGGGTTGAGATTTAATAAAATTAATAATTTCACTGCTTCAACAAGGACACTTAAGTGAAACTGGCAATTTTTTTACTGCGAACGTGGCAGTGAAGAATACAGTGAATACTAGTACATTGGTACCACTGCTCATGCTAAGGCACCAACAATTTTAGCCACTATGGCTTTTGCACCATCAACGCAATGTTAACTTGGTGAAAAAGGTAAATAACATTTTAGTGTTATTATGAAAATAGGTTTGACTTCATGGATCCCTGAAAGAATCCAGGGGCTCACATTTTGAGAACCACTGTTCTAATTCTATCATTCCTTCATTTTTAAATTAGAATACTTCCATGGAGAGAAACTTTCCCTCAATCAGTATTTGGTTACCCTGAGATCAGTTTGCATAAAAAAGGGCAAGTTAAATTCTTTTTTTTTTTCCATTTATTTACCAGTTTTTATTTAAAAAATGGTTCTCTAGCATCCTTCAAGGTGATCAATGAGAAATCTTTTGCTAGTTTGTTTCATTGTGAACTTATGCAGTTAACATAGTTGATGTGTTTCTATCTGTTGCAGTTATTATTTTTATTGATACTTAACTTGTCCCATCGTTTACTAATGGGAGCCTCTTCATATTGGCTGCTGAGTCCTTTTGACATGACCCCAGTAATCTCTAACAGCTTCCTTGCCTTCTTGTATGACAAGATATTCTACACTCATACTGTACTTTTCCTAACTCAGACCTAGAATCAACCATTTCTCTAAGGATCCCTGGTTTCTTTCAGTAAGAAATGATATTCAAAGACCATAATCTGGGTGCTAGGAATGCTGTGCCGGTTATTGATATATTGCCTCTAAGATCCAAACTCATCCATTTAGACTGCTCTATGAAAATGAAGCTGGGTCCTTTGATTTTTTTTTTCTTTTGCTAGCTTGCACAGAATCTTTGTCATTGCAGGATGACAGGGTTGCTTCCTGGTTCCAATGTGCTCTCTCAACAGGCTCCTGAAACATGGGTGGCATTGTCCAGCACCAGGCTCCTGCAGCACGGGCACTTTCTCCAGGGCCCAGCTCTTGCAGTGTGCAGTTGTCAGCGGGACCCAGTAATCCATGGCTTTCCCAAGCACCACGAAGAGTGAATTCTGCCATATTTCAGATGGCTCTTTTCTAGAAATCTCCAGAGGGTAGATTTATAGCACCAGTAGGGCACCACAACTTCCCTGCCATTCAGTGAGCCATGGCAATGACCTCTCCAACATGGTGTAGATCTCAGGCCTGGGGGTAGAAGAGGGACTCTTCATTGGGTGCTCCAACTCAGCTCTGTGGGTAATGATTGTACTTTATATCTGTTTCTATATTTAAAGGTGTTATTTCTTGCTCTAATATCCTCGTATAGTTAATTAGTCTTTATATTAAGCTTCTCCTATTCGAATTACTGAGTAATTTCTCTGTCATTGGACCCAGACTGATACAAATGCTCAATTTTACTGAGTTAGTAGTTTTTGCTATGCATTTCCATTGGCTATAGCTAGGAGATAATTATTTTAAAACAAGAATACGTCATAAATTCATACTGGTAGTTTCTATTCACAGGATTGAAGAACTTAATTTTATGTTTTTTCTCTTCTATGGTGAAAAATCTTAGCTCCTAACATTAACACA